GATTACGAATTCTAAAACAATTCGTCCATCTAAATGAATAAAAGTGACCTTGGAGAGAGCGTCAATAAAAATGGCGACAACAACATCCGAATCAGAGACACAATCATAACGTGAATATGAAGAGTCCTATAATTTTGAATAACAATCTACAAGAAAAAGAAAGAATTATAGCAAAACCAAGACTACAACGATATTAACAACATCTTCAAACTTATCAACCAGCAAAGCAACAAATGTTTGTCAGCATTTATCTCAAGAACGGGTTGATGTTGAAACACCTCAATCTGGTATTTAGAGATCCACTATTTAAGTAGCTGTTAAAGAAGAAATAAAGAAAACACTACACTTAGGAAATTGGTCATTACGTTTTGATGGTAAGCGAATTGATGGTCAAGAATATCAAGTGCTTGTTTTGAAGAATGAAAGATGAGAAGTTAAGTCACAAGGAGTGCATCTGCCAAATGGAATAGCGGATCCTCTTGTCAAAGGAATAACAGCTACGAATTTGAACACTGGAAGCAGGAATGGAATTGTCATTCAGTTACAGTTACAAAAACTATTTGCTCAAAAGAAACTGAAAGAAGCACAGTTCATTGGCTGTCAACATCATGCTCTTGAAAGAGTGCTTCACGTCAGAATTGATGACAAACTTAGAGGAAACAACACATCACCCAATATCGAATATCCTTTTATCCGTGAACTTCAAGAAGAATTTCAAGAATGGTAAAGAAGAGATTCCTGAAACAGCATGACGGCGTGATGAGAAGAAATTTCTATTTCATTTAACTAAAGTTTTCTGCTTTTTGAAAGAAACATAGATTTCCTAAAGTGAAGTTTCTAAAAATACCGAACTTAAGTTCTTGAAATTCTACAGCAAAAACTAGCTAGCTCTTTTGGCACTTATTCTTCGACCAAAGAAAAGAGACTAGCTACTCGAAATTTGTAGATTCGTCTCTTACTGATGGACGGAACATTGGTTTACTGATCTTCAGTGCAGATGATAATCAGAAGCGGTGTAGCAGATTGCAGCCTCACAAAAAAAGCATTAAACTCTGTAAAAATGTTTTGGAATCAAGAACCATGGAAACTGGAAATTCACAGAAGAAATAAGTGCGCAGAATGGGCAATCAAGTGCTTGCAAGATCTTTATGACGTCTGTAAGAAGTAGTTCAGTTTACATTTAATTTCTATAACTGTTGTAAACTAGGGAAAGTTACTGAATAGAATAATCACACAAAGGTTGGTAATGAAGGATAATACTTAGGACAAGAACAACACATATAAGATTCGCCAGCTGCGCGTAGAAGAAATGAATTTATCAGTGAATCTCCAACTGTAGGATATCTACCAACCGCCCCACGCAGTCTGATGTGGCACAAGACCGAATCAAATCTGAGATTCCCGAGACCATAGTCTCGGCCAAAAATTCCCCGTAAACACTGTATAAAACGGGGAAGGTAGTTGCTTCTCGAGACGAGGCTCTTCCCTTCGACATAGCCTCGTCTGGGGATCCTCTCTGCTCGGAGGCAGAAAGTTTGACCAGCACAACTGGAGACGAATCTCCAACTGCAGACCAACATACAGTATTTACTACTGTATTTATATGAATGGGGACATACCCATTATCGTCCGTAGGTATGCTATAGCATTAACAAAGCACAATAATTCTATATTATGCTATAATTATGCTAAATATTACACATTCGTTCCCAGTATAGACGTATTCTTACTTGTAGAGGTAAGTTCCTAATTGTATATACAAGTTTGCAATTTTTCTTTATTTGTATGTTATGCTATAACTATAAACTAATAATGCTTTAAAATACATAAGTACAAATCGAATTCTGTTATTAGCACATTGAAAAATAAAGCTTCTGAAATATTTATATTTTTTGCCCTTCTTGCGTATATGGTAAAATAAATTTTCGCTTTAGGGTGATTTTTTTGAAGAACTTTTTCGTTACTTTTGAGCAAAAGTTCATCGATTTATGACATAGGAATATAGGGTTACAAAAGGTCATAACGTACAGTTGAAAATTTTGAAGCCATCCCTAGAATTAGCATAGGGTGAACTTGAAAAAAAAGAGCTCTTAGAATCATTGAAAAAAGAATGGAATCAATTATCAAACTTATACATTGAGAGACTTTTCGAACGATTGCCAAAAATTTGTGCTGCTGGAGTCAAGGCTAAAAGGAGACATGACGAAAGTAAATTTAATTATAAAATGCTTTTTCTTTTTTTTGCCATAATAAAATTTCTAATAAAACACCCTGTCTCACTATTTTTTAAACATGTATAATAATTTTGTCTTATTCAAAGAAAAAACAGCCACTTTTTAGATCAATTTAAAAAATTACCAGTGGTTGCCTCAAACTTTGAATTGTAGTGTGTATGTGTGTATATATATATATATATATATATATAATTAAGTAATTCATCGCGTCTAGAAGAAACCTCAACTGAATGTAGAAAGCACTGGACGGACGCTTCGTCCTATATTCGGGACTCATCAGTAGTGCGCATCTACTACCGAGAACTGAAACGCTGACAGTTAGGTTGTCATGCAACCGTCATACCAACTGTTCCAACAGGCCTCGGTGACGAAGAGGTAGCAAATCAGATTTAATATAGCCGAGGCCACGGAGTATGTGAGCGAGCGGCGCTATATTGAGTCTGATTTGCAATCTCTTAGTCACCGAGGCCCGTTGGAATGATGTTTGCTTGACAACCTAACTGTCAGGGTTTCAATTCTCGGTAGTGGATGCGCACTGCTGATGAGTCCCAAATATAGAACGAAACGGCCGACCAGTGCTTTCTGCATTCTGTTGAGGTTTCTATCAGACCCGATGAATTAATTAAATATAATTATCAAATCCTCCTAATAATTTCTATCTGTGTATATCATTGCTTGAACCGGCTTCTAATACTCTAGAGTGAGCGGCTTGGTGATAGTAGTTGTGGCTCCCGGGGGCACAGTCCTATGGTTAGAGAGAACTCAGTAAGAGTTCCGCCACGGAATATGTGAGCGAGCGGCGCTAAGTTGAGTCTGATTTGGAATCTCTTCGTTACCGATGCCCATTTGGAACAGTTGGTATGATGTTCGCTTGACAACCTAACTGTCAGGGTTTCAATTACTTTGCTTGACAACCTAACTGTCAGGGTTTCAATTCTCGGTAGTGGATGCGCACTGCTGATCAGTCCCAAATATAGAACGAAACGGCCGACCAGTGCATTCTGTTGAGGTTTCTTCTAGACTCGATGAATTACTTAATTATAATTGTCAAATCCTCCTCAGAATTACTTTTATCTAGCTACGCTTGTAAAATCACTATATATATATATATATATATATATATATATATATATATATATATATATGTGTGTGTGTGTGTGTGTGTGTGTGTGTGTGCGTATGGGCAGAAGAGTTAAAAGTTTGCTTTCTGACCATGAGACCCGGTGTTGTTCAGATTATTTATCATTCTATACTGTAAATAAGGTCTGCTCAGCACAGTTGCAGTATAAAACACAGGTTGACTCAGAGGGTCTTCAATAAAAACAAATGCGCCTGAACGAGAGTCTGCAATAGGGATTAGCCAGCTACTCTAGTAGACGGATATCCTCGAATACCAGTGACCAGCTATATATATATATTTACAGAGGAGCGTTCGGTTAGTAAGGTCAAATTTACTGTTTTTAAACTTCAATCTTCTCTGAATCTCTCACGTACATTCATATCTGCTCATGGCGTATCCAAATATAAACAAATGACGTCACACATTATGAAATGGACAAAGTCCGACAATTATTTTAAGACATTTTTATGTTTATACATTCTTTTTATAGATACAAATATTTAAGTAAATGCTCTGTTTTATAATAATCAGTATTAAACAACATTTACCGGCCTGAATGTCCGAGAAATTTTCACAGGAAATATTCGTCCTCCGACAGGAATCGAACCTGTATCCTATACAGAACTATGAAAAGAAAAAATGTCTTAAAATAATCATAATGTGTGACGTCATTTATTTACATTTGGATGCGCTTTAAGCAGATACGAATGTACGGGAGAGATTCATAGAAGATTGAATTTTAAAGACAGTAAATTCGAACGCTCCTCTGTAACCAAATCGGTTAAGTCACGTCAAGCTAAATGACATTTCCGTATAGGATACAGGTTCGAATCCTGTCGGAGGACGAATATTTTCCTGAAAATTTCTCAGACATTCAGACCGGTAAATGTTTAATACTGTTTACTATAAACAGAATATTTACTTAAATATTTGTATCTATAAAAAGAATGTATAAACATAAAAATGTCTTAAAATATTTTTCTGACTTTCTCCATTTCATAATATATATATATATATATATATATAAATATATACTTGTATATATATTTATACTGTATATATATGTATATATAGAAACATGTTTGATAGAATACTACATAGATTTTATGTCTATTTATATGTATAATAAACTTTTTAGAAAGAAAAATATAAAATAAATAGACATAATATGGCTATATTATTCAATTAGACATGTTTGAATATATATATATATATATATATATATATATATATATATATATATATATATATATATACAGAGTTAGAAATAAAATGTGTCACTTAGCTGATTGATGTCATATTAAGCACCTTGGCTCAAGAGTTTCGTAGAACTTTTTTGAAATTGTTAAGTCCACTCATCAGGAGGTTTCTATATTTTCCCATTTTTCGTTATCTATTTACTAAGTTTGAAATGTAAATAATTTATGCGCCAGTTGGGACGCTCTTATTATTTTTATTATTATTATTGATTGATTTATTTTCCTTTTACTGTGTCTCCGCGCACGTGTGTGTCTGCATGTATATCTGTGTGTGTATGTGTGTGTATGCGTATATGTCAAATGCTGTGGTTATATGTGAAGAGAATAGAGCGACCATATTGTAAGGAAAATATGGCATAAAAAAAATAATATAAGTGAATATCGGACAGAAAGCGGGAAAAAAAAGAAGGAAGAGAGAGTGAGAGAGAGAGAGAGAGAGAGAGAGAGAGGGGGGGGGGAAGAAAAAAAAGGGAGGAGAAAGAGAGAAAGAGGGAAAAAGAATGCGATGGAAATCAAGAAAGTAGGGAAGAAATAAAGAGACCGATGAGAAAGGGAGAAACTGAGAAAGAAGAAAAATAGAAAGAGAAAGAGACAAAGAGAAAAGAAGAAGAAGAAGAAGAAAAAAAAGAAGAAAAAGAAGAAAAAGAAGAAGAAGAAAGAGACAAGAAAGAGAGAAAAACGGTGATTAGAAAGAGAGAGGTGTGAAAAAAGAGAAAAATAGAGCAGAAGGAAAGAGAGAGAATAAGTAGAAATAGTGTGTGTGTGTGTGTGAGAGAGAGAGAGAGAGAGAGAGAGAGAAATGGAAAGCTAAGAAAAAGACAGAGAAGAAAAAGAGTGTGTAGTCATAGAAAAAGAAAGATTTTCTACTCCAACCTACCTACCTATCTACCTACCCATAGCGCGACATATGTGTTTTTTTCTTTTACCGGAGACATCAAGCGATCCCCACTTTCCTTCCTATCCTCCTCACCCTAATCTTGCGGCCGAAGCCTGTTTATTGTGAATAACGCATCAGAAGTTTCTAGAAGCGTTAATCACGCCTGACATATTGAGATCTCGCGAGACCCACAACACTTCCGATGGTAACTCTTTTATTCAAGCGTAAGAATTTCGTGTTATATAAAAAAAAAAAGGAATAAAAAATACAGAAAAGAAATTTCAGTTAAAACCTCTCCCATCAAAATAAATATTGAGAAAAAAAAGCAACAATCCATGTTGTCGAATATTCATTGTTTTTGTCAATATTGGCAACTACCAATGAAGAACAAAAAGAAAAGAAAATAACTTCACTTTCGAAACTCATAGATGGCACAGACAACTAAGAATTAAACAGAAAACAAAAACAAAAATCTACAAAACAGGGAGACGACATTAAAGCATCGAGCAAAAGAAAGAGAACGAATGCATATAAAATATAAAACTCTAAATATCGATGGAGGGGGGTAGCGTTTATTCTTTTTCTTTCTCCTTGTCCAACTAAAATATAACTTGATTTTTTTGTGAGCCGACAAAATAGACACTGACGAATAATACAGAAAAATGGATTATTCTTCGTTGGCTGATCGAAAGCAAAACAGATGCCGACATAGAGACATGAAATGTTATAGGAACACGGGGATTATAGATACAAGGAGGTTACAGAAACACGAAGGATATAGAGACATGAAATGTTATAGGAACACGGGGATTATAGATACAAGGAGGTTACAGAAACACGAAGGATATAGAGACATGAAATGTTATAGGAACACGGGGATTATAGATACAAGGAGGTTACAGAAACACGAAGGATATAGAGACATGAAATGTTATAGGAACACGGGGATTATAGATACAAGGAGGTTACAGAAACACGAAGGATATAGAGACATGAAATGTTATAGGAACACGGGGATTATAGATACAAGGAGGTTACAGAAACACGAAGGATATAGAGACATGAAATGTTATAGGAACACGGGGATTATAGATACAAGGAGGTTACAGAAACACGAAGGATATAGAGACATGAAATGTTATAGGAACACGGGGATTATAGATACAAGGAGGTTACAGAAACACGAAGGATATAGAGACATGAAATGTTATAGGAACACGGGGATTATAGATACAAGGAGGTTACAGAAACACGAAGGATATAGAGACATGAAATGTTATAGGAACACGGGGATTATAGATACAAGGAGGTTACAGAAACACGAAGGATATAGAGACATGAAATGTTATAGAAACACGGGGATTATAGATACAAGGAGGTTACAGAAACACGAAGGATATAGAGAATGGATGTTATAGGAACAGGAAGGTTATAGATAAAAAGAGGTTATAGAAATACGAAGGATATAGAGACACGGATGTTATAGGAACACAAAGGATATAGGGACATGAAATGTTATAGAAAGACGAAGGATATAGAGACATGAAATGTTATAGGAACACGGGGATTATAGATACAAGGAGGTTAGAGAAACATGGAGGATATAGAGACATGAAATGTTATAGGGACACGAGTGTTATAGGTACAATGAGGTTAGGGAAACGTGGAGGATATAGAGACATGGATGTTATAGGGACACGAGTGTTATAGGTACAAGGAGGCTAGAGAAACATGGAGGATATAGAGACACTGATGTTATAAGGACGCGGATTTTGTTAATTCTTGGCAGGCACCTTTGTTATTCAAATGAACTTCCGGCTTTCGCTACTACATTTTCTGTCATCTGTTAAAACATTTTCCAGATATTTTACCAATATTATCTTGAATTTTTATCATTAGATGAAGCGTTGTCAAACATTATTCAGTTTTGACTAAGATTTCTTTCATCTTCATTTCACTCACTTTTCATCTAGTAGTATTAGTAATATTATCTTAAATTTTTATCATTAAGTAAAGGATTGCCAGCCATTATTCATTTTTGACTAGGATTTCTTTCATCTTAATTTCACTTGCTTTTTATCTAGTATTATTAGTTATAACATTATCTTGATTTTTTTATTAGATGAAGCATTGTCAATCTATGATATTCTCAGTATCCTTCTGTAGAACCCCTTTTCTGTAGCGCTAGTCTATAGGACGTGATCATGGAGCATATTTACTTAATTTAATTCAGCTTGTCGCAAAGCCACCTATGTTAGGCATCGAGTAATAGTAATAGTCTGCAACTATACGATTGCCGACAAAACACAGCTCGGCGCTCAATTTCATCTCTCTGTCAATTCATTAGCCATCTTCTTAATATTGTCTCTGCTCCCACCTCTTCTCCATTTTTCTTTTTCTTTTCGCTTGAAATCTTCTCGGCATTTTATTTTATTTTTTCTTCCTTCAAAACAAATTGAAAAAGCTTAGTCGTGACCGACGGGAAGTTAGCAGTTCACCATTCATATTGTCATGGATACAATACACCGATTTTGTTTTGCTTCCACTAGCCTGTTCATTTCTCGTTGCCAAGTCTCGAATCCGATGTTAATCTCGCCTGCCAGGTATGATGACGTTTCACAAGCCACTGCGTCCATCAATGCGATTGACTGATCCAGTCACGTGAAATCGTTGGGGCATTTTCAATCCGAAAGTAAAAAAATAAGAGAGAAAACAAAAGAAAAAAAAGAAAAAAAGAAACAAAACGAAACAAAAAACAAACTAACTTGGTTATGCTTTTAAGGTTACCCATAATTCTTCTTCCGGAGACGAATGAAAAAAAAAAAACCCCAAAAAACAAGAAAAACGAAATATCACAAAACGTTTGCACGAATATCAAAACGTGTTAAAACATACAAAAATAGATTTAGAGGGTGTTTACGAATTTTTTATTTTGTGTTAAGTGTATATATATATATATATATATATATATATATATATATATATACATATTATTAAATGGATTAAATCCGAAATATTTAAATTTATTTGTTTAAACGTAATTTTTAATGGATACTCATTTTTGAGTAGATGCTTTGTCTTTATTATTAAACAGTGAATATTCGAGAAAATATGCGCCTCTCGACAGGAATTGAACCCGCGTCCCATAGGGAAAACCATCATTAGATCTGGCGTGCCTTGTCCGCTCGGACACGTAGGAGGTACATGTATATATGTAGTGTGATGATTAAATTGTAGTCTCAATTACGCAAAAATAAAAATAACACTGACATCTCATTTTAACAGGTATGCTTACCAAAATTACACAAAATATCGTGAAATATTAAACAGTATTAAATTTATTTAATAAAATCGCCATTGGCTTCAACCACGGCCTCCTGACGATTTCATGTTCTACAGCCCTCTTGGACGGTCTCTTTAAGTTCATCAATGCTGCCATAATCCTTGCCTTCAGTTCATCTTTGGTGTTACAAGGAGTTTTGTTGGTCTCACACTCAGTTGCGCCCCACACATAATAATCAAGGGGGGTTGGAGAATTAGGTGGCCAGATGTAAGGGGTGATGTGGTCACAGATATTGTCTGACAGTTATGACTAGGTTCTCCTGCTTGTATGGCATGGTACAGAATGCTGTGTCCAGGGTCTTCCAGCAGCCACCCTCTTGACCCAGGACAGCACTACCTTGATGTAGGTCTCCGTGTTGAGTCGGTGGCCCCGTGGGAAGATGAATGGAAGCATAACGTCGCCGTCACAAGTGGTCACCTCAAAAACCTTCGAAATCTTTCCGAATCTTCTGCACTGACCTCCTATTGACACCCAAACACTCTGAAATGTTCACATTGGTACTTCCGGTGCGAATGCCAAGCAGGACAGTATGTCGATTGCGTGAATTGCGACATGGTGCTCTCTTTTTTGTTCACTTGTATATTTATATTTACATACGCTATATCTCTGATATTGAGCACTTGTCATCCACTGACAGACTGTTTCGCTGTATCACAGTTCATCAGTGTGGCTAGACGTCCGGTTGCCTCTAGCTAGAATCGAAACCCGACTGAATTGGCGTCAGTCGGGGATTCTACCACTAAGCCGTTGGCGCACGGCAAGGATGAAGGTGAATTTAAGCGTATTTATTTTTAGATAAACACACAGTGACTGAGAGAACCCGATTCGATTTACCGAAGTGTCTTGCATTATTAGCCGTAATAGTCACTGTTTACAAACCAACACTTCCTCCCCAGAGAGCTCAACCGAAATAAATTCTTCAGGGGCATATATATAGATTTCGTTAAAAACAAGTGACAAGGTACTGCGGTTAATTTTTAATTTAATTTTTCTTGTGTTCTTATATGTTTTCTTTTCTAGACATAAATTGTGTAGACATTGCCCGACTATTCTGTATATCGACTATTCTTTTAACCATCATCAAAGATTTTTACTTTTAACTGAATGTATGAATATTTTTTTGATAAATAAAAAAAACTTAACACCAGTACCTTATTCGTTTTTAAAGAAAACTTGTATAATAGAGGGCTTCTGCCTAGATATATATATATATATATATATATATATATATATATATATATATATATATATATATATAAGTAGTGTAATCATAAATAAGTAATTAAATGAATAAAATAATCGACTCACGATTTTATTGATAGACTATAGATATTTTCCATTCGATTTCTCCCAAGCCATTTCGTTTGTTTCCTCTCTGATAGTAGTCGATATAATAGTCTTATGTTGTCCGAATTGTTGCCTATCTTAAGCTTAACCGTATGATGACGCTAAATCGATAATCAGATAGCCACAACAGGTTTTATCCGATTAGACACTATATATTATTTGATTACTATCTATTAGTACTAGTAGATGCAATGGTCTAGCTTCGTCGAAAATTCTGAGACGAAACATTTTTTCATGATTCATTTTGGACTACTATATCTTTAGTCTTATTAGTTTTATTATTTTATTACTTTATCGTTGCAATACAATTGATAATATGTTGATATATATGAAAATGGTAAGATAGACATATGTTATTGTGCAGGGATAGGCTTAGCTTAAAGTTAACACCAGACAAAATTTTGCTAACAATTCTGACGTTGATTTTCTATTTTACAAAAAAAAAAAAACGGTAATTTTATGGTTATCTGTTTGAGGTTTATGACATTTTGTTTTAGTTCTTGAAAAAGGTCACCCCCCACACAGAAACTGAAAATTCGATTATACCATATACTCAATGAGGGTTAAAAAAAATCAAAATATTTCAGAAGTTTTATTGTTCAATTTGCTAATGATGTAATTGCTTAATACTTACGAATTTTAACGCATTTAACAGTTTATAGCTATAGCATAATTGTTATAGAGGAATAAAGTGTCGCTGCCGACACTTGAGTTTGAACATAGATCGCCAGTGAGCAAATACAGGCGATCCCATTATAGAATTAAGTAGACCACGTGACCATAGTGAAAACGTATATATGGAAGGCAGTGTGTGTTTAATTGATCTGCATTTCTAATCTATCCTCTATTACTATTCGGTTCTGCATTTCTAGTCTATCCTCTATTTATTTACGGGTCATCATTTCTATTCTAGCCTCTATTACTATACGGGCCGCTATTCCCTACTCTATTCAGATCACTATATGGTGGTTACTATTCGAGCGAGTATTATCGAGCAAGTACTATTAGTGCGAGTGTTATTCCAAAGCGTCTGACACCAGTATTGTTCAACGGTGTTACTATAATTGTATCTGCGATTACAAAGTCTCTACTACAACGAGCATTACGAAAGTGACAATGAGTATTCGGTGACATTACAAAGTGTCAAATGAATGTTCGTTGACATCACAAAAATAACATACAAACTTACAAAAAAAAAAAAAATTCTAGAATACGGTTTCTCAACCTTGCTGGCCCCATACCCTTCTTTCAGCATTTGTCAGAATGCCACCCCCCTCCTTTTCAAGCTGAGGCCAGATAGGCCAAATTCTATAATTGCTTCCCCCACCTAAACTTACTGTGGTCACAATTCACGCCTGAAAATTAAAAACTCACCCCCTGGAGGTGAATTTCGCCCCTGTTGAGAACCCCTTGTTCCATAAAATTCTAAAAGGATCCAGGAAGTTCTAGAAAGTTCCAAAATGTTCTGGAAAGTTCCAAAAAGTTCTAGAAGGCTCCAGAAAGTCATAAGTTATTTACGATTTTAGCAATTTCGTGTTTGGTTGATATTTTTAAGAAATAAACTGTATCTTCTTTATTTTTGAACAAGAATTCATCGAATTCATCGAAATCAATTTGCCAAAAACTCATAACACTCTTGTGCATATATATGCGACAAGTTTCAAAACAAGAGTGTCATTTTTAGATGACACTCTATCAAATGCAAACGTGACACAAAAATTGAAAGTGATGAGGATTAGAATAAAAAGATAAAGCAAATGTGAAATGAGTGTTTATATAAGAAACATGAACAATTTGTTAGAAGCGAGCAAAAGAATGATGAATTACTATGTAATATCTGTCCTTCCATATGACAGATGAAGAAGAAACTTGAAGGAACAGAAATGTGGTTCTACAGAAGAATGATGATGATGATGATATTCCGTAACAGTTCAGGTACCCTTTCTTTGTTTCTAAAGAAAATCTCTTATTTCTTAATACGTTGCTTAGCTTTTGGAAGGCATCTTTCGCTATCGCAATATGCTTTCCGATTTCAGTGTCGCACTTTCTTTCCTCTATTAAAACACTTCTCAAATATTTAAATTGTTGTACTTGTTTAATTTTGGTATTTTCAATTAGTAATTTGCATGTTACATTGTTTATTTTGCTGACAAACATGTATTGCGTTTTCTTGCAGTTAGTTCTTTCTTCTCGCTTTCCTTCACTACCTTCTGTTGGAGTTCCTGCATTTTCCTTTATGGTTTGGTTTATTTTGTTTTACGGCATATCAACCTCAATGTGTTATTTAATGCCGACAACATTTTTATTGCTGGTAATATTTTTTTTTCGAAAGATGTATTGTTGGTAATAATTTTTTTCAAAAAATGTATTGCTAGTTATAATATTTCCAAAAAAGTATTGCTGGTATTAAATCCTATTTTTATACTTTCATTTGTTTTGACCCCTTTCGGTGGTGTTAACTATTTGCGCATAGCTGGGACCCTAACAGGTGCTACGGCCTGGGAACACAAGCAATTAAGAGGTGAATCCACCCTTCTCAAAACCTTCTGATCAGAGGCCTTGCTGTCGGGTGTAGTTTATCGTCATACCCAGCACGGATCAACACATCTGCAACAATGAATCCTGATTCGCTGAGAATCACCTCACTGTATGGGTTAAGTAAATCCGGTGAGAAGACACACCCTTGTCTTAGCCTCCTTTATATTTTTGTTTTATTTACTGAACTCATTTTCTATCCGAATGCAGACGGTAACAAAATAGGTGATGAAAAAAGTAAAAGAACGAAAAGAAAGATGAATGCAGCGTGAAAAAAAAAAGAAGAAAAAAGAAAAAAAATGTCGATAATGATAACAGAATAAACTAGAAGAAGAGGAGAATGAAGACAAAAAGCAAGGGAAGTGGACAGAGAAAGACAAGGATAAAAGCGTGGGGGAAAATAGATTGAAAGAAAAGAAGAAAGAGAAAGAGAGAGAAGGATATAATAAATAAAAAACATGAAGAAAATGGAAGGATATGAGATGAGTAAAAAGCAAGCACAAATTACGAAGCCATAAAAAGCCATAAAAACAAAAAAATAAACCAAAAAAAAATTCAATAAAATGATAAGGTTGGAGAAGGGTATGACGACTAAAAACAATTAAAAATGGCGAGTGATGTCACTGCGGTCCGGTGTTAATCGTTTGTGCGCGTCAGATAGGATTAAGACAGACACGAAAATATTTTGGCGGGAAAAGGAGAACTGGAAAGAAATTGAAGTGGAAGTAGAAAGACAAATCTTCACCCACAAAAAATTAACAATAAAACGAAACTGAAAACAAACAAGTATTAAACAACCAAATATAACAAAAGGAAAGAAAAAGAAAGAAAGAAGCATAAAAAAAGACTAATGGCGAGAAACATTTTCATAAAATACAGTAAAGGAAATATTGTATGGCCGCAGAAAATTTTATAGACAGGAATAAAGAACGAATAAAATAAATAACTTTGATAATCCGGCACCGATACTTGTTTCTCTTTCGTTGTCCTTTTGACAATCTAGGCTCTCAGCGTTTTTCCCGTCATGCCTTGTTCTTAAAGGAAACTCTTACCGGGACCGTTTCCTCCCGAACACTGAGCCAAGACTTTGAAAGCTCAAAACAAATTGCAAGCAGCAAACATCACAAAAACAAGAACTGCTCCAAGACATAAAATCTTCTTCTTCTTCATCTTCTCAATCTCCTCCTTCTTCTTCATCATCTCCAAAACCTCCTCCTCCTGGTCCTCCTGCTCCTCCTCCTCCTTCTTCTTCTTCTTCTTGTTCTTCTTCTTCTTCTCTTTTCGACTATCACACTGTATTCTATTTTTTTCTCGCCACCCATTTCCCTAAAATATCTTCTTGTCTTTTCGACTATAACATTCTCTTTCTTCTTCTTCTTCTTCTTCTTCTTCTTCTTCTTCTCCACCTCCTCCTCCTCCTTCATCAATTCACAAACCTCCTCCTCCTCCTTCTTTTTCTTCTTCTCTTTTCGGCTATCACACTGTATTCTCTTTTTTTTCTTGCCACCCATTTTCCTATAATATCTTCTTGTCTTTTTTACTATAACATTCTTCTTCTTCTTCTTCTTCTTCTTCTTCTTCTTCTTCTTCTTCTTCTTCTTCTCCACCTCTTCCTCCTCCTTCATCATTTCCCAAACCTCCTCCTCCTCCTTCTTTTTTTATTCTCTTTTTGACAATCACACTGTATTCTCTATTTTTTCTCGCCACCCATTTCCCTATATCTCCTTGTCTTTTTGACTATAACATTCTCTTTCTTCTTCTTCTTCTTCTTCTTCTTCTTCTTCTTCTTTTCTCCACCTCTTCCTCCTCCTTCATCATTTCCCAAACCTCCTCCTCCTCCTTCTTTTTTTTCTTCTCTTTTTGACAATCACACTGTATTCTCTTTTTTTTGTCGCCACCCATTTCCCTATATCTCCTTGTCTTTTTGACTATAACATTCTCTTTCTTCTTCTTCTTCTTCTTCTTCTTCTTCTTTTCTTCTTCTTCTTCTCCACCTCTTCCTCCTCCTTCATCATTTCCCAAACCTCCTCCTCCTCCTTCCTTTTTTTTTTCTCTCTTTTGACAATCACACTGTATTCTCCTTTTTTTGTCGCCACCCATTTCCCTATATCTCCTTGTCTTTTTGACTATAACATTCTCTTTCTTCTTCTTCTTCTTCTTCTTCTTCTTGTCTTCTTCTTCTTCTCCACCTCCTCCTCCTCCTTCATCATTTCCCAAACCTCCTCCTCCTCCTTCTTTTTTTTCTTCTCTTTTTGACTATCACACTGTATTCTCCTTTTTTTGTCGCCACCCATTTCCCTATAATATCTCCTTGTCTTTTTGACTATAACATTCTCTTTCTTCTTCTTCTTCTTCTTCTTCTTCTTCTTCTTCTTCTTTTCTTCTTCTCCACCTCCTCCTCCTCCTTCATCATTTCCCAAACCTCCTCCTCCTCCTTCTTTTTTTTCTTCTCTTTTTGACTATCACACTGTATTCTCTTTTTTTTTGTCGCCACCCATTTCCCTATAATATCTCCTTGTCTTTTTGACTATAACATTCTCTTTCTTCTTCTTCTTCTTCTTCTTCTTCTTCTTCTTTTCTTCTTCTTCTTCTCCACCTCCTCCTCCTCCTTCATCATTTCCCAAACCTCCTCCTCCTCCTTCTTTTTTTTCTTCTCTTTTTGACTATCACACTGTATTCTCTTTTTTTTTGTCGCCACCCATTTCCCTATAATATCTCCTTGTCTTTTTGACTATAACATTCTCTTTCTTTTCTTCTTCTTCTTCTTCTTCTTCTTCTTCTTCTCTTTTCTTCTTCTTCTTCTCCTCCTCCTCCTTCATCATTTCCCAAACCTCCTCCTCCTCCTTCTTTTTTTTCTTCTCTTTTTGACTATCAAACTGTATTCTCTTTTTTTTTTTTTTGTCGCCACCCATTTCCTATAATATCTCCTTGTCTTTTTTATAACATTCTCTTTCTTCTTCTTCTTCTTCTTCTTCTTCTTCTTTTCTTCTTCTTCCTTCCTTCATTTTCCCAAACCTCCTTCTTCTTCTTTTTTCCTATCACCTGTATTCCTTTTCCCTCCACCCATTTTCCATCATTCTCCCTTGTCTTTTCCTCCTCCTCTTCTTCTTTCTTCTTCTTCTTTCTTCTTCTTTTTTTCTTCTCTTTTTTGACTAAACCTCCTCCTCCTCCTTTTTCATTTCTTCTTTTTTTGTCTTTTCTCCACCTCCTATCTCCATATTTATTTTTTCCTTTTTGACATTCTATCTCTTTTTTTTTCTATCTCCATATTTTATTTCCATAATTTCCTTTTTTCTAAGACATTCTCTATTCTTCTTCTTCTTCACCTTGTTTCTTCTTTCTTCTTTTTTCTTCTTCTTCTAAGACCTTCTATCCTCCTTCATCATTTCCCAACCCTTTCCTATCTCCTTATTTTTATTCTCTTTTGACATTCTATCTATTCTCTTTTTTTTTCACCCTTTCCTATATCTATTTATTATTTTGTACTAGACATTCTATTTCTTCTTCTTTCTTCTTCTTCTTCTTTTATTATTCCGTAAGACATTCTCCTCCTTTTTCTTCTTTCCTATCTCCATATTTCTTCCTTCATTTTTCTTCTCTTTTCACTATTTTCCTATCTCCATATTCTCTTTTTCCTATTCTTGTTTTCACCCTTTCCTATCTCCATATTTATTATTCCTTAAGACATTCTATCACCTTTTTTCACCCTTTCCTTCTCCATATTTATTATTCTTCTTCTTCTATCTCCTTTCTTTTCTTTTTCCTTTCTCCATATTTATTATTCCGTAAGACCTTCTATCTCTTGTCTTTCCTTTCTTTTTTTTCCTTGTCTTTTTCACCCTTCCTTATTTATTATTCCTTAAGACATTCTATTTCCTTGTCTTTTCACCCATTTCCTATCTCCTTTTCCTATTATTTTTCCTTTTCTTTTTTCTTATTCCTATCTTTTCATAAGACCTTCTTTTTATTTCTATTTTATTATTCATCCATTTTATTTTTTCTTCTCTTTTCTTTCTTCCATAAGACTCTATTTTCCCCTTCCCTATTTCTTTTTATTCATTAAGACCTTCTCTCTCCTTTTCTTCTTTTATCTCTCTTTTATTTTTTCTTCTCTTCTTCTTTTCTTCCCCCTCCTTCTCTTCTCTTTTATTTTTTCCTTGCCTATCACTCCTATTATTCCTCCTTTCTTTTTTTTCTTTATCTTTTTTTATTCATGAAGAGCTTCTATCTCCTTTTCTTTTCACCCTTCCATATCTCTCTTTTTTTTATTCTTTTTCTTCTAATCTCTTGTCTTTTTTCCTTCTCCTATCTATCTTTTATTATTCCTTAAGAGATCCTATCTTTCTTCTTCTTCTTTTCTTCTCTATCTTTTATTATTCCTTTCTTCTATCTCCTTGTCTTTTCCTCCTCTATCTATTTTATTATTCCAAACATTTCCTCCTCCTATCTTTTTTTTTCTTTTTCTTCTCTATATCTTTTTTTCATCTCTTTTTTTTCTTTCTTTTTTGTCGCCTTTTATTATTCTTTGTATCTCTTTGTAACCATTTTCCTATAATATCTCCTTGTCTTTTCATCCTTCTCTATCTCTCTTTTTCTTCTTCTTCTTCTTCTTCTTGTCTTTTTCTTCCCTATCTTCTTTTATTATTCCTAAAGAGATCTTATCTCCTCCTTCTTTTCATTTCCTCAATCTCTGTTTTGTTATTCCTTTTTTTCTTCTCTTTTGCCTTTCACTCTTGTATCTATCTTTTTTATTTTGATCTTATCTCCTTGTCCTTTTCATCCTTCTATCTCCTTTTGTTATTCCTGAAGAGCTCCTATCTAACATTCTTTTATTATTCCTTAGAGATCTTATCTCCTTGTCTTTTCATCCTTCTCTATCTCTTTTGTTATTCCTTCTTCTCCACCTTCCTCTTCCCTATCTATCTTTTATTATTTAAGAGATCTTATCCCTTGTCTTTTCATCCTTCCTATCTCTGTTTTTTTTTCTTCTTTTCTTCCCTATCTATCTTTTATTATTCCTTAAGAGATCTTATCTCCTTGTCTTTTTCATCCTTCTCTATCTCCTTGTTTTTGTTATTCCTGAAGAGCTCCTCTCTCCTTTTCTTTTCTTCTTCTTCTTTATCTATCTTTTATTATTCCTTAAGAGATCTTATCTCCTTGTCTTTTCATCCTTTCTATAGAATTTTGTTATTCCTCTTCCTCTCCTTGTCTTTTCACTCTTCCTATCTATCTTTTTATTTATTCTCTTTCCTTTCTTTTCATCCTTCTCTTCTCTGTTTTGTTATTCCTGAAGAGCTCCTATCTCCTTGTCTCCTTCTTTCATCCTTCTCTATCTCTGTTTTGTTATTCCTGAAGACCTCTATCTCCTTGTCTTTTCACTCTTCCCTATCTATCTTTTATTATTCCTTAAGAGATCTTATCTCCTTGTCTTTTTTCATCCTTCTCTATCTCTGTTTTTTA